AAAAATTGCTAACTTAAACAATGTAATTTTAAAAATTTCAAAATTAAAATAATATTATTCTACAATAGATATTTATTTTGAAGATCAATCATGCGATTCAGATTGTTAAGTTTGTTTTTAAGGATAATGTATTTTTGTCAGAAAGGAAGCTATTTATTTAAAAATGAATGAATAAAGGAAAATCATGTTGAATATACTAGAATTGAATAAGCGATATATGGAGATAAAATTTTTAAAGTAGAATTTTGTGATGATGGAAATGATATTCAATATGATGGATTCTTTAAATACCATTATAGTTGTGATCTCTATTGTTTATAATGTGTATTTGGCTTCTGTTATTTATGTAAAGAAGGATTTATAATAAATGAAGATTCATAAACTTGATAACCTTATTGTGAAGAGGGTAAAGTAATCCCTCTTACTTAAGGAGAATGTGATGATAGGAATTAAGATCCAAAAGATGGATTTGATTAATGCAAATTTGCATGTCTACCTCATTGCTTAACTTGTCATAGTATATTTTGAAAATAATAATCAATTTACTATAACATACTGTTTTCAATGTGAAATAGGGTTTGAAAATCAAGAGGAAATATGTGTTTCAATTTGTGGAGATGGTATTTTAATATAAGAATGAGATGATGTGAATTTAATTTATTATGGTGGTTGTTTTGATTGTAAATATCAATGCAGTCAAGATTGTTTAGTTTGTTAAAAAGGAATATCTCTAAAAAACTGTTCAAAAATATGATTGTTTTCGAGAATTAATGTAAGTCAATATGCGCATAAATGATGGTTGATTATGAAATAGAATGTGATGATAATAATAATATAGAATATCATGGATGTTTTAATTGTAAATTTAATGTGCACTTTGTTGTTAAGTATCTTATTGTGAAAAAGGTATTGGTCATAAATTCATTTCAGAATCTATCTAATAAAACTAATAATCTTTAATTCATGATTTTGAAGGTACTCTAAAAAATATGTTAAATAAATAAAAAAATAGTTGGATTTGTAATGAATCAGAATGTAAATATTCGGAAAGTCCTTAGTTAATAATCAATAATCTAGAATTAAAAAATTTTTAATTTTAAGTTTTTAATTAAGTTATGTCCTTTCATTTACAATATTTAGTTGAAATTGAATTTTCTGAATAAATTTTATTTCGCAAATTCTAATTGTCAAACCTGAGCCTTTTATACTTATACTACAAATCTAAATATGCTATATCCCGAAATTTTTTATTCGTTGTATAGTAATCATTTTAGCACACAAATTATAAAATTTATAAATTAGTAAAGTATAATTTTATCATCTATTATCTATCATAATTAGGTTGCATTTGTTAGTATTAAGAATTTTTTAATTAAAAAAATCATAATAACTAATAAATCCAACCAAATCTAATAGAAATTATTTTTAAATAATAATAATATTTTATAATTAATTCATTTTTTTTAGTTAAGTTGAAGTCAAAACAAACATTATAGTTTACTTAGATATTTATATTAATCTAAATTTACAGATTAATTTCACTAATTAGAACTTTTATAATTAAATAAATTTAATTATTAAATTGATTACTGTTACAATAGTATATTTAGAATCTATTAAAGTTTTTGAAAATACTCATCAACTTGTATCTTAAGATATTTCATTTTCTATTTTCTAATGGAGCTTATTCTTCTACTAAAATAAGTTACATAGAAAATACTCAAAAAATATCCCAAACTATAACATCTATAAAAGCCAAAAGAAAAATAAATAAAGATTCAAAGCACAATTTTACCACTAATACTCAAATATAAGAATTAGCATTATGATTTTCTAGGTTTCTCTAAATTTTACCCAATAAATATATATTTGAAACAGGTAACATTAGCCTAGAAGTTGGTGTAAGCTACATATAATAATCTTATTAAGTAAATGTCTAGTAGTATCTAAATATTCTAATCCAAATATAATCAATTAATATGTCAAAAAATAAATATATAATATTTTATAGAATGAAATAAAATATAAATAGAATATAACTAAAGATATATAAAATATATTTCTATCTTTATTTCAATTAATTCAGGATATTTCTTCAAACTTGGTCTTATTCCTAATTCAATTATTATACTTTGCATTCTTCATTTTAAAATATCAAGTTAACTCTATAATAAACACATCTATACTAAATACCCAAAATATATTAACTAATTAATTCATTTCCCTATACACTTTTAGAATTAAGATATTATCTACATCATTTCCAACATTATAAATGTTACTTTCAGGTAATATTAAATTAAAATCATTTTAACTTAAATAAAGAAATTTATAAAGCTTCGATAGATAATATTGAATTAAATTTAATATTTGTCCATAATCTAATATATCTTTAAATCTATATTTTCTAAACGACAAAAAAATTTATACCTTCAAATAAAGTGAAATTCTAATTAAATCTGATTATAATGTCAATAAATTAGATATTCATCTTTTTAAGTTTATTCTAGAAATGATAATTTTAAGAATGCTTATTATCTAATAAGTATTTAATAATAAAAAGAGCTATGCTATCCTAAATTGATAGTTCTCTAAATACCTAAAAAAATTTAAATATTGTTTTAGTTAAATCTATTTATTTCGAATATTTCTTAAATAATATACATCAGAAATATATCTTACTGCTTTGTTCATTATTTCCTGACTTTTTTTTTAATTTTAGATGCCAATAAATCATTCGTTTCTTGTAATTTTAATGAAAATTCTTAGAATGAAATTGATTATCTAGAATAATAGGCAATAGTCAAAATATATATAAATTATAAAATGAAATTTAATATATACTTTTAAAAGATTAATTAGTTTTCATTCTTATTCATTAATTCTTCTTCCTTCTTAATCTTATAATTTTGTTCCAATATTTCATAATTTTATTCTCTTAAAATAAAATAAGAAATAATATCAAATCAAACCATTCAAATTAAAAAATTAAAGTCATTGAAGAAAAGTAAGTTGCTAAAGTAAATCGAAAACCATTAGCAATTATTAATAATTGTTTGAAATAATAATAATTATTTATTACTTCACTTAATCATTCTTATTTTATAAGTAACTCTCATAGTACTTGAAATTATTGATCTTATTCTTGCTCTGCAGAAATTTGTTCAACAAACCAGATAACTCGAATATTGTATTTTTCCAAACACTCATTCATGAATATTTTTTAAACTAATTAATGGCTAATCTATTAAATTTGATTTCCAAATTATTATTCAAGTATAAAATGAATTCTCAAAATTTTATAAAGATTATTTTTTAATCTATATTTTACTTTTGCTTTTTTTAATAGTAAAAAAATTAATTCAAAAGTTTAATGGGAGGCTGAAATTAATTAAGATCTTCTTCAATTTTAAATTTATTGAATATATTGGTTTCAAATTTTTAATTGATAATACATCAAAAAAATGTCATAAAACTAGTAATTTATTATTATAATATTACCACATACTTTAATATGAACAAATCTAAGCTTAGACCTACAAATATTTTGGCATGGTAATATTATCTTAATTGATAAATTTCTATTTTAAAAAAATATGAACTAGAAATGTTAAAATGTTAGTTTTCCTCAGAAATTAAAGCAATCTTATTTGGCATTAACTCTGAGGCTACTTCTTATTTGATTAATTCATAGTTGTAAAGAAAGTTAAATTATTTTTAATTCTTAAACAAAACTTCATCATCGATAATTGTTTTTTATTACTTTAAGTAATTTAAGTATAGGAATATATCTTCTAAGATCAGAAGCTTAGTAATATTAATCAACAAAATCTTCTAATTTTTTTTAGACATAATTAATTTAATTTTCAAATTGTTAATTTTTAAAATAAATGATGTATAGGTTAATATTTGTTAATATTTTAAACTAATACTGAGAGGTATTTCGTTTATCCATAATAAAAAAACAAATAATAAATTAAAGAGAAACACTTCTAAAGTGATCAAAAATAGAGATAAATGAATCTTAGGACTATATATTCTTTCGAATATAAATGCTTATTTACTTAAATTACGATAAAAATACAAATATTTTATCTAAATACTTGTTTTGCAAAATGAACAATTGAAGGTAGATTTCAAAATAGATACAAATTAGAATATGTGTTTTATAAATTTAAAATTATTAAGATATACTCTAACCTTTTCCATATAAATTAAATAAATTTTCATTTAGTTTATTAGTTTTTAAATAAAGATAGAATTAATTTTATAAATAATTACATCTCTGATACCTTAATCTGATAAGTCAATTTTATACACTGTATAAATCAATACTTGCTTTATTAATAGCGATCTTAGCAAATTCAAATCCTGATAGAAATTGAATTTTAGCTTCCTTTAGAAAGATTATAGTTTATTTATGCTAAATTATAATGGCAAGAGACAGTTTATTTGAAACCTTTTAAAGATGATTCATTCGGTATTCAATTTTTGTTGGTTTTCGATGGGGGTTTAATTAATATCAAATTCAAAACGTTAATCTTTTTGGATTATGTATTCATTAAAGACTAAATCTATTTTTTTTTGGAAAAAATTATAGATATTTTTTAAGATCTTGAAAGTAAGTTATAAAAAAACTTCTTTCTAGATCATTTTTTTAGTCAAAAAAAAAGTTTTAATTTGATAAATTAA